AGCGATTGGGCAATATCACCGGATGAGCCACTTCGAAAGGCACATCTGCTCTCCGGAGTCGACCCCCAACTCGCAGCAGACCGTCGTTGTCGATGAACGGGTCCAGTCGGAACAACGAGCTCGTCTTCTTGACGCACCGCTTGATCCGTCCACTTCTTTCGTCTGTTGATTGAAGGGCCAAGTTCCGTCTCTGAAGCTCTTCGCTGAAACTGTCAGCTTGAACAGACTTCAGAATTACCCTTTCAGCTTTGTTCAGCTCTTCTACGCTGGTCGCCACTCCGCGCGGCTGTCCCAGCGCGCCCTCCTCATGTTGTGCTGTATCTCGGTCACAGCTTCTTGCGCGCTGGCGCACTATCTGGCAGAAGCGCCGTACCACGGCGACAGCTCGTTTGGCTCGAGACCAGCTGGAAAAGTAGTCCAGTCGTTTGGCCAGAGACTGGTTTTGACCATCCTGCTCTGGGACTCCTCGGACTTCAATCTTGAGCACACTTGCTGCCTTCACTTCAGGGTCATCCGATGCCACTTCTGCCTTTGTGACCTGTCCGGGAAGACCTCCGCGCTGCAGAAGGAACGCAGGTCCGTTCCACCACAGACCGTTGGTCTTCAGCTCGTTCAGAGCTGCTCCTCTCGATGCGATGTCAGCTGGGTTATCTTCGGACGCTACGTGTCGCCACTGAGTGGGGCGCGTCGCCTGTCGAATCTGCTGGACGCGGTTCGACACGAAGACATGAAACCTCTTCGATTCGTTGTAGATATAACCCAGCACCACTTTGCTGTCGGTCCAGAACACTTCGTTCAGCTCTGGTATATCTAGCTCTCTTCTTAGGAGACAGCTGCCCTTCACCATCGCCACTGCCGCAGTCAGCTCCAGTCTGGGTACGGTGAGAGGGCGCTTAGGGGTGACTCGTGCTTTGCTGAAGACGAGTGATGATGCCATTTGCCCGTCCTCCGTCATGATCCTTAGATAGCTGCAGTAGCCGTAGCCTTCCAGACTTGCATCACAGAAGTGATGCAACTCGTACAGCTTCACACACTCTTGTCCCAGGCCATGGGCGTAGCACCTGGGCACACTCACTGAGGAGAGCTGCGAGAGGCCGGACTTCCAGCTTTCCCAGCGTTGGGCAGTCTCATCGGCTACTGGATCATCCCAGTCGTATCCATCTGTGCAAAGCTGCTTCAAGATCTTCTTGCCTTGAAGGGTTACCGGCGATACGAAACCCAAAGGGTCGTAGAGGGAGCTCACGAGAGAGAGGATCCCTCTTCTGGTGGGTGGCCGTTCTGGAGTCTCGAAGCTGAAGCCGAGAGTGTCGTCTCTCAGGTTCCACCTGATGCCCAGGGCGTGTTCAAGTGCCGTCATCTCACTCATGACTTCGACTTCTTGCAAGTCCTTGGCGCGACGGTCGGCCGGGAGCTGTAGCAGGACCTCAGACTCGTTAGACGCGAACTTCCGTAGGTTGAAGCCTCCTTTCGCGCAGAGATCGATGGTTCTCTTCGCCAGGTCTACGGCAGACTCCACGTCTGGTACGGATGTGAGGCCGTCGTCCACGTAGAAGTTACGCCGCACGAACTCGGCTGCACTTCTTCCTGATGTACTCTCGTGTCTGTTGGCAGTTTCCTTCAATGCCATCATCGCACACGCTGGCGAGGACGTCGCCCCGAACAGGTGTGTTGTCATGCGGTGCTCTTCTGGGCTAGCGGTGATGTCACCTCGCTTCCACCACAAGAAGCGGAGGAGGTTTCGGTCTTCTGGGTTGACGCCGACCTGGTTAAACATTCCCTGAACATCACAGCTGAGGCCGACGAGCTCCTTTCTGAAACGGATAAGTACGCCGATGAGACTATTTCCGACGTCTGGACCCTGAAGGAGCTGCGAGTTCAGAGACACTCCTTGATGTTGAGCGCTACAATCGAACACCACTCTGAGCTTGGCCTTCTTGGGGTGGCACACCCCATGATGTGGTACGTACCACACATGTCCCTCCTGTTCTTGTTCATCGGCTGGAACGACTTCGGCGTAGCCTTTCTCCAGCATCTCATTCATAAACGCTTCATACTCCTCTCGGAACCTTGGATCTTTCGCCAGTCTGCGTTTCAATCCTTGGAGCCTCTTCAAAGCCACCTCTCTGTTGTCCGGAAAGGAGAACGACTGGTCCCTCAGCGGGAGGGGCATCTCGAAATGGAGGTCCTCTCTCTGATGTATTTTGCTTTGCACGATGTTCATGAACTTCGTGTCGTCTTGTGAGTACGTGTGCTCTTCAAGCGTGTCGCGGAAGTCAGCCTCAAGCAGGTGCATCAGCTGAACAGGGCTCACTTCTCGAGTGTGCACGCGGAAGGCAAAGTGACAGGACGTCCCGTTGCTCCTTTTCGCCTCACTGTCCAGGATACCGACGATACTCCATCCAAGTACTGTCTTCATTGCCCATGGCTCGTGGTCTTCTCCCACGACAACTTCTAGAGGCTTCACTGCCTTCGCGCAGTTGATTCCGATCAAGACTCCAATCTCGGCTTCATCGAAGTATGGAGGCAGTTGCTGTCCAACAGACTTCAAGTGAGGCCACTTCCGTACGCTCTCCTCTTTGGGGATGAGCCCACGATCTGCCGGGATATCGGAGCGCGAGTAGGTCGTAGGCAGGGGTACTTCGTCTCCGCCGTCAACTGCCTGCACCACTAGACCATGGACGGCATGGGCTCGCTCGACTGATTTCCCGGTCATTGTGTTCAGTTGCAGACGGGTTTCCACCCCATCAACGTCCATCTGCTGGCGTACCGACTCCTTGATAAAACAGGCGTCTGACTGCAAGTCCAATAAGGCGTAGGTGACGATCTCTCTATCTGGTCGCTCATCATGACGAAGCCGCACGGGGACGACCATCGAATGGGCGCACACATTTCTCTCTGCAACGCCCACTTGAAGAGAAGTCGCACTTGTCTGGGTACCCTGACTGCTCTTCGTGCTTGATCGCCCACCATCAGAGGCCACCAGAGCGTCATCATGCAGGACGGTAGGATGCAGCTTCCCACACTTAGTGCACCGTTTCTTCACCTTGCACGTACGCCACACATGTCCAGGCTTGAGACAGCCTCTACAGAGACCGTGCTTGAGGACGGCGTCATGTCTCTCACGGACGCTCATCTTGATGAACTTCTGACAGTAGTCCAGAGTGTGGTCTCCATTGCAAATCTTGCACCTCAATCTTGGCACTTGGTCACCATCTGACGGCGCGTTGGTGGCAGCTAAGAATGTTCTTGCTCTTGTCTTGGGCTGAGGCTTCTTCGTGTTCTGCTCAGCTTCGGAGAGACGACTACCAACTGGTCCGCTGGCAACGCGCGCTTCTTTCCTCAAAAAGAGGACAAACTCGCCTAGAGACGGATACCTCGCGCTGGATCCGAGGCGGGGCTCGTAGAGCGCCTCGTCTACCACCCGTTCCCAGCGGTTCACAATGTACTTCGGCAGTAGCTGAAGCATCCGAACGTTCTCGTCAGGGTCACTGAGGACATCCAGACCTGCAACGGTTCTTGAAGCAACTTCGCAGCTCTCCAAGTAGTCGGCGAACTGCCGGAGTCCCCTTGCATCGCCAGGAGCGATCTTCGGCCATGTACGTATCTTCCTTCTGTAGGTCTGTGCAGTTATGAAGTTGCTTCCATAACGCTCTTGCAGTTTCGCCTTCGCCTCACCATAAGCATCCTCTGAGCTCAAGTGCAGAAAACCTTGGATCGCGTTGCGTGCTTCACCGCTCGTGTACCGAGAGAGGAAGTGTAGCCTCTCGGCAGCTGATGAAGTGCGCGCTTCAATGTAGCTTTCAAATGATTTCATCCACAGGTGAAACTGCTCTGCATCACCACGGAACACCTCTGGCTCCAGGGCTGGCAGAGAACTTCTCTTACTCTGCTCTGCAAGTAGCTGAGCCAGCCCTGAGAGAAGCTCTGCTGCAGAAGAGGCGGCTGCTCCCTGCGAAGGTTCTTGACTAGGATTCCTCACATCAGCTTCTCGGTTCGTGTCAGCTGCAGTGCTCAGTCCTGGTGCAGGCTGCTGCTGGTGATCAGATGGAGCAGCAATGTCCTCTACTGTCTGTTCCGGATGGCGGCTGGTTACAGCGTTTCCCTCAGTCTGACCTTCCAGTTCCAGCTTGAACTTGTGTGTCACCTCTGCCTGTCTCTGCTGGATTTCGATCTCGGTTTGCAGTGCCAACTCCTCTTCTTTCCATTGCAACTCTTGGCGTTGACGCTCAAGCTCTTGCCTTGCCTTCAGCATGGACAGTCTTGCTGCCACTTCAGCTTTCTTGCGCTGGTCTTCGATCTGCATCAGCTGAAGGCCAGACTTCGTGCTGACGCCAGAGCCAGCCACTGATGCACTTGCCGTCTTCTGCGGCTGTCTGCTCTTCAAGTAGCCTTCAACCACCATTCTGACTTGGTCGATTTCTTCTAAAACCATCTTGTGGTTCTCTGAGTGTTGCTCCACTTCAGCCCGAGGGAGCAAGTGACACAACTCATATTCTGTCTGTGAGAAGGAGATGTAGTTGTGGATCCACTTCTTTGCCTTCTCTTCTGAGATGTCTGGGTTCACCTCCACTTCGGTACCACTCTGTCGGACCACCTGCCGACTGAGCTGCTTCAGTTCACGTAGCTGATGCTTGTAGGCCTTCGTCTTAAGTTGAGTTTGGTACTCGCGCCCCGCCTCTGTTGGACGGATGGCTCTCCCAGAACTGGACTGCAGAGCGTCCAACGTCTCATCCTCCTTCCCCGAATCAGCCATGTTAGTTCAGGTAAGGTTAGGTAGGTCAGTATCAATAGGTTAGTGCCGAATTGGTTATGTTAAAAACTATCAACTTCACCAAACACTATACTACAAACACAAGTTGTAGGTAACTATACTACAGAAAACGACTCAAAACTGGTGACACATCATAACTGAAGCCACCCCACTACGGGTGGAAGAATTTTTACTGATAGCGCCATCGTCCATCGCCGTTAATCAAACTGCAACTCAAAATAAAATTGGATCGAACTAAAAGGTTTATTGCAGCCTCGATGTGGAGATGGTCAATACTGATGACCAATGACCGTAAAAACTGTCAAAAAACCACACACACACACAACAACATTCGGTCAGATTCAGTCGCAACACATAAACAGGATAACACATACAAAATGACTAGATCAAGACATTGATGATTAAATGAGGATATGAAACAATCATGGACAAACAAAACCAAGTTCAATAAACAAATTAAAGATCAAACAGGCACCTACTTCGTCCGGGTATAATGGGGTCGTGCTCCAATCAGCTGTTAGGCGCGTCTGCTCGTCAGTCGTCTCCAATAAGTACAAATGAGACCAATGATAGCGAGACCAATGATAGCGCCAACCTCAACGTGAGTGACGTCACACCGATGCCTTCAGTTCAATGGCTGGAGAAAAAATAAGTAGCAATTAGTAATCCACATCCATGCGTCGAGCAGCCACGGTCACACTCATCACAATCATGCAACATGCGCCTCATTCCATGGCACCAACATTCATCCCAGTACCGACAGAGCTTTGGCGGTAACAGTGACGTCAAAGTGCGTGAGGTCATCCATCTGGTAGGAGCAGGAGTCTGGTGGTGGGAAAAGGTAAGTAGGCATATCGACAACCGCCTGCTGTGGTAGTCGATAGAGTTTGTGCTCAGACTGATCATGCCTTTTTTGACGAACATGTCGGCAATGATTTCTGTTGGGCTGTTTCAAGCCAGGTTTATGTGATTTCACATGCAGTTTTTTTTAACCATTGCAATTCTGCCTTTGTGAATTAATTCATCTTAGTCTTAGTGAAATGGTTTTATGCAAGCAGCCCTCTGATTATATTCTATCGAGTGCGATTTGCTCTCACCGTCATAATTATTCAACACATCGCCGCGGGCTTACGACGCAGGAGCTGTACTGCATCGGAAGTGTCGCTGGAGCGCTTCAGGTTTAGCTGTCCGGATTTCGCTTTTGTTTTGTCCTGCGAATTTTTAGAGGAATTGCCGTTTGGAACAGCTCGCCAACTGTCTATTGCTATTGTGGAAATTCTAATTTGACCCTTGCCCTTGACGGAAATGCGTCTTTGGATTGCCTACCTTTTGCTTGCTTACGTTTTTTTTTTCTCAAAACGCTTGCCGCATTTTGGTGTTTTGCCTATCCAGCCTTTTACCTTTATTCGGTTTATGGTCTTATATGGATCAAACATGAAGCCACCATTGTGTGTGAGAACTGAGATGTGTGAAATGTTTTGCAAGATGTCTTATTGGCCGTTTTCACGACGGAACTTTCGCAGAGAAACTTATTTGATACCTAAAAAGTACCTACCCTTAGAGGCCTTAACATCCCTCAAACTGAAATATTTTATGTTCAAAATAATTTTAGAAGTTTAAATCCGGGCATTTTTTGCCCTCAAATCACTTATTTATTTACAAACACAGCAATTTTTGGTTCTAGTAGCCCACCTTTCGACTATGAGGTATTAAATCAGCGTGGCAACTTGCTCCCTCTTTGCTCCCTCGCCTGCTCATGGAAATATCATGTTCTGCCTGGACGTCGGACCCGGCGGCCGCAGTGCACCTGCACACGTGCGGAGAGGGGCGCTGGAGGCTACTCTGGAGCTTCTGCCATTCCGCGGCGCGACTGCTGGCAAAACGGCGGCGATTGAGGCGGTTGGGAACAGCTGCAGCAATGGTGATGGCGGTGATGGCGACATGGCGGTTTGGGACTTCATCTCAGCGCGGCCGCCGCCCAGGCGCCGCTGCGCCCGGCTGCTCAGCCACCTACCGGATGGCGGGGTGGCCCTTACGGCCCTCACGCCCGTTCGGTCTGCGGCCACGTTGTGGGGTGGCGGTCGCGGGGTTAGCGGCGTTGGACTTCGTCCTTTATCCAGACTGCACCGTACCATCTGAACGGATGGATCTGCCAAGAAAGATGACATCCAAGGCGGCTATGAGGCGATCACAAAGCTTCACCAAGAGCTTCTCCTTCATGGGGCCGGCCGGCCGTTAAGTCGCAACACCGGCTGCCGAGTGCCAACAGCTGCGTGCGCTGGCGCCGACGCGTTGTGGGCCGCGCTGCTGACGCCCAAGCTGCGGTATCAACCATCTATGAATAAGTGGCAGCGGTGGCGGCTTGTCAGTTGTTAACGTGCCTTAACAGACGTTGCGAATAGCCCGCGTTGGAATCGCATGGTTGGGAACACAACGCAAGTAAAAATGGGCTTCCTTGATGAACCTACTTTTTAAGCATTGTAGCCTTTGTAATTTTGGATGTTTTGCTGTAGATATTATTTTCTACATATATACTATATAGGCACTCACGTGCTTTAAATCGCGCAATGCAATTGAACCATGGTAAAGACAATGATAAATGAACTGAGAGCTGACATGCCCCATGCTTTGTGTGTGTATGTGTGTGTGTGTGTGTGTGTTTTTTTTTTGGCGAGGCGATAAAAGTGGTTTTGGACACTGGATGAGTTTTTAGGGGTGTGGTGAGGGGGGATGTAATTCCACAGACCTTCTGTCAGATTCACTAATGCAGTAGGTCTGTGCGGTGTTTAGTTATCGGAGCATTCTTTGAAAGTCGTGAATAGGGCCACCGAGTACCTAAAGCCGTGATATTCCCCCACAAAAACTTCTTTTAACCCACGAGCCGCTGGGGGGGGGGCATAAAGTTGCCCCCCCTTTACGTTTTGGGAAATATCTCCGAAACCTGATGAGCTACGAGCGTGAAACTTGGCATAGCTTCAAATGAATACCTAGGCAATGTTTGAGGAAAGTTTGGTGGTTGTAGCACCTAAGATGACGTCACAGTGACGTCATAAAGTTTTGTCGTTTTCCGATATGGACCTTTTTGATGACGCTGAGCATGAAACTCGACTGTAAATGAACTAGAAAGCACCTGCTGTCATCCTAAAACATCTTACTACACTTCCATCTAGTTTCTGACCAATAATCGGCCCTTTATATTCGGTCCCATATATGTGATGCATCGTGAGGAATATGAGAGTCGCAAATCTATAATTTCACTTATGACGTCACTGTGACGTCATTGCAAATGGGATCGACACCAAATTTGGACACAACCTCGGCTAGGTATTCAGGAAGATGTGTGCAAAGTTTCGCTTCTCTATCTCTTCGCGTTGCGACGATATCGTTGCAGAAGTAAAGGGGGGGCAACTTTTTGCCCCCCCCCCCCCCCAGCGGCTGGCGGGTGGCGCGGAGGCCCAGCGGCCGCCGGGTTAAATAACCGGGGATAGGTACATGAGCAGAGTAAAGGCCGCCGTCCACTGCGACGGAATTCCGTCCGGAGTCCGTCCGGAATGTCGCCGCACGCTGGCCGCATCCGGTCCGGATGCGGTCCGGATGCGGAGAGCAAGATAATGTTTCCTATCACTTATTACCAAATAAAATATTGCAAGTAACCAGCAGCGAATACTCTTGCCATTCTAAGGAAATAATTTTGACTTACTTCATGATGATCGAGTTCCAATTCTTCGTACAATTCACAATGTTTGCCTCCGACACGGCCCCAAACCACGTCTGTTCCGTCTGTTCCGGACGTTCCGGATGCGTTTTCCGCAGAAAAGTTCAACGCGTCGGATATCACTCTTCCGTCTCCGTGGCAACCGCATCCGAAACGCATGCGGAGAGCTGACGGAAAATCAACAGCTGATTGCCGTTCGGATGCGGTCCGGACCGAACGCACACGATTTCCGTACGGACCGGATGCGCCCATAGGGTTCTGTGTTAAATTCCGTACGGACCGCACGCGTTCCGCACAGTGGACGGCGGCCTTAAATGCTATTACGAACGCCTATCACAATGCTGAGCGAATAGGAAAATCCATAGATGGAGAATTGTGCCGCGTTACGGGTGCTCGGGCGCAGCCAATCCACCGTTTCCCCAGCGGTGACCTTGACCCGCATCGTCTGTCTCGGCTCCAAAGCCAAACCGGCGTGGAATTGGGAGCGTTCGAGCACTCATGGTCCAGCGCAATTCTCCACCTAAATCCATTCCTGATACACATTTGCTTGCTCATAGTCATGTAACCCCGGTAAATTCACCCAACTTTCATATTGGTCGCTCCATAGACAGATGGCCACAGAGATCAACTTAAAAGGCCATTGTTGCATTCATTTAGTGGAGATCATTAAAGAGCCGTGACAGGCCACAAGTCGCGTGACATCATACGTGTAACGACCAATGACGTCGGCCTGCAAAACCCAATGGAAGCGGCTAGCAGCGTGCAATAAAACAGGGCGCTGCTTTCTAAATGTCTGTCGTGCGCCATAAATGAATATATTCTTTGTAGCCTGGCAACTCAGTATCTTTTTTTAACTATTGTACTAGTATTTAATAATTTCATAATTTTATAATTGTGCTTACGCTTTATGTTGATATTAGTGATAAATCCTTAGATAAAGTAAATCGATGTGATATTTAATAGAAAAATAGCAAACTAACGCACCATTCATTCGAAAGCTGGGGAACCTACTAAAAAGAACTACTAAAATTCCTGAGGAACCAAAGGATCAAATGGGGATTAAATAGATGCCTGCTATTCCGTCGTGAAAACGGCCATTGGCCGTTTTCACGACGGAACTTTCGCAGAGGAACTTATTTGATGCCTAAAAAGTACCTACCCTTAGAGGCCTTAACATCCCTCAAACTGAAATATTTTATGTTCAAAATAATTTTAGAAGTTTAAATCTGGGCATTTTTTGCCCTCAAATCACTTATTTATTTACAAACACAGCAATTTTTGGTTCTAGTAGCCCACCTTTCGACTATGAGGTATTAAATCAGCGTGGCAACTTGCTCCCTCTTTGCTCCCTCGGGTATCTAATTCCGGAATTCTTAAAAACAAGGAAAGTATATATCGAGTTCTCTTTTATACCTATTCAGTTATGTTTTAATGGTGATTAAAATATGACAAATTTTTTAATTACATTTCATATAAGAAAACACGCAAAACATTGAAACAAAAATAACTACGGCAGATAATTACCTTCAGGTATCTAATTCCGACCAATCAGCACCTCAGTAGGATATGACGTCATACAAGAATGGTGGTGAAGGCCGTTTGCAGTCCCGGCCGGTAGGTCACGTGACCGCCGGGCGCCTCGGGTCACGCGGCGGTCGGGAGTCGGACGCGGGGCGTGGTCGCGGGCGGACGCGCGGGGCATCATGCTTTGCTTTGCTTGCTTTGTCAACTTCATATAACTTACTATCGCATTCGTGTGAAAGCTTAACACTGCTCAGTGCCCTTAGAAATTGATTTTTGGAAAGCTCAAGTCCCTATAGCTCCTCAGGTCGGCAACAGTTGAAGCCTCATCTGAACCCATGTGAAAAAAC